TTATTTCAATTGTTTTTTTTATAAAATAGTTGTTATTTTCCATCTGATATGATAGTATTATTGTAATATTGTGGTAATACCAAGATACGACCGCGAAGTGGAGGATACAACAAAGGAATATTCCAATCAAACCAGGATATATTCTTTATCGAGCACTGCTATATTTTGGTTGTATTATTGTAATATTTTGGTAATATTTTTTTTATTGCTTTTTATTTAACATATTTTATGATGAAATATATAAAAACAGTTTAATATTATAAATATATCCTCGGAACAACCAAAATACGACCGTAGAGTGAAGAATACAACAAAGGAGTGCTCTCATCAAACCAGGATATATTCATTATCGAGCACTACTATATCCTAGTTTTATTATGGTAATATTTTGATAATATTTTAGTAATATTCAATGCAGCTTATTCAACGCTGGCTAAAAAAAACTTACAAAATATTTTAATCAATCCTAGCTTATTCCAGGCGTATTTAGTGAATATTAAAATAATTATAAAGTTTTATTGTTTTTTATTTAACACATTTTATGATGAAATATATAAAAAAAGCTTAATATTTTAAATATATATTCGGAACAACCAAGATACAACCACGAAGTGGAGAATACAACAAAAGAATATTTCAATCAAACCAAGATATATTCCTTATCGAGCGTTGCTATATTCTGGTTGTATTATGATAATATTTTGATAATATTTTGGTAATATTTAACGCAACTTATTCAATGTTGGCTAAAAAAAACTCCCAAAATATTTTAATCAATCCTAGCTTATTCCATGTGTATTTAGTGAATATTACAATAATTATATGGTTTTATTGTTTTTTATTTAACACATTTTATGATGAAATTTTTATTTAACACATTTTATGATTAACACATTTTATGATGAAATATTTAAAAACAACTTAATATTATAAATATATCCTCAGAACAACCAAAATACAACCGCGGAGTGGAGAATACAACAAAGGAAGATTTCAATCAAACCAGGATATATTTATTATCGAGAGCTGCTATATCCTGGTTGTATTATGGTAATATTTTGGTAATATTCAACACAAGTTATTCAACTCTGGCTAAAAAAATCTCCCAAAATATATAATCACAGCTAGCTTCTACCACTCGTATCTGCATGCATATTATCGTAGTATTAAGGTTTCCAGGTATTTCACGTAACACTAAATCACTATATTAATATCACATTACGTTCATTTGTTGCATTTTCTTGGTATTTCACATAGCATTTAGGTCCATCAATAAGCTCATATATGTGTTTGTGGGCAGTGATGCATGCAATTCCTGTTGATTTTAGGTAATAAAAAATGATTGTAAGTAAATAAGTATGATCAAAATTAGTTCACAAATTACAAAGTCTTTCGAATTTTAAATTATGTGCATGACTATATCGATCCGACATTGCAAACAAGTTTGGGTCGGATGGATGAAATGTACATTGACTTGAACCAACATCTTTGTCCTTTTCTATAATACAATGCTTCATGTTAGGTTTATTAATACTATTGGCAGTGAAGATAGGTTTATTAATACTACCGGCAATGCTTACTTTTTACTCTCTTGTTCTTCTCCCAATATCCTCTTAACCTTGCATTAGATATTCCTTTTGGCCGCATTTTCGTTGAATCGTTCAAATTGTGTTGTATATTCGGTGTCTTTTTCTTCTTTGACTTTGGCATTTCGCAGTGGTCTCTCCCATTCAATATGGCCTCTGATTCGATTGTCAGTTTCTTTAATGTCTCCAGGACGTTTTTCTCAGCAAGTTCATTACCTTGCGTTAATATACTGATCTGATATGCAAATTTATGAACGTGTGTTTGATATATGAGTCCACTTGAACAACTTGGTGACATTTGTGAATCCTTCAGATGTTTATACCCATAGCTGTTATATATATCCCTCTTTGCATGAACAGACCACCGTAATAATATATATTTATCATGAATATTTGTTATATTCTCATGCTAAGCACCCTAAAGTGTAAGAACATAATAAACCTATCATTTCAAATTTTTTGCAACTGCATGTAATTTCAGAGTTACTTTTATCAACTTTAACAATACAGGTTCTGTCTGTGTGTCCACTATCTAAGTTTCTAATGTAAAATTCAAAATCTTTGGTGGTTGAGCACTCCACAGCAAGTCCAGACAAACCATGTAGCAACTCTGCTTCAAATATTAAATATAAATTCCTCGTGTAAACAAAGAACCTTGCCTTAACACGAGACTACTTTTTACAGCGGGAACAATTACAGACTGTTCACATTTAAAATCTTCATCCTTCTCATTCCTTCATCAAGATTTCATGACATTTTCAAGACCCAAGAAACTTTCAGTGAAGGTGCTTGTTGGTTGGCTTGGAGGCTGTTGGCTTGGAGGCACCATGACAGATGTTATTCGTGGACTCACTTCTTTGCGTTGATTGGACTCTCATCCCAAATATTCCCTTATTGAACAAAGTTGACCACTTATGTCTGATATTGTACAAACTATTCAACCAAGCATTTTCATGTAGATTTCCTAGCTCAATCATTGTATGTCAGGTTTCTTCAAACTCCTCCTCGTTCAACCAAGCATTTTCATGTAGATTTCCTAGCTCAATCATTGTATGTCAGGTTCCTTCAAACTCCTCCTCAGAGTTACATCTACCCATGCATTTATAAAAAAACTCATTGACTCTCTTAGTGCTCACACCACAATGGACTTTTGTAGACAATTTCTTGTAAATGTCATTGATATAATCTATGTCTGGTGTGCGGAAGACACCCTTCAATGGCTCTGGCCATTGTTTGGTCTTGATCAGTGAATATTGATCTCAGATGTTTTTTTATCCATTATCCGAATAAATGATTTGAATAGTCACTTGAATGAGTCAACAGTTTCATCTGACAAAAAACCAACTCCAAATAGAATATTTTGTCAGTGGTGGTTCACACCGAAAATAGGAGCACAACATAAATTGTATTTATTAAGTCTATAATTTGTATCAAATATTATGACATCCCCAAAGCAATCGTAATCGAGCCTGAATATCCCATCACTCCAAAAGAAATTCAACAAGCTACCAGACTCATCAATCTGGACGTCTCATGCAAACATCGTATCATCAGCTTGCCTCTCAGTGAACAACCGTAGAAGAGAATTAGCGTCCCCATAATCAATTTTAACTTTTCTCTCTCTCAGTATGAAATTATAAGCATCCAACTTCATGCAATCAAGATTTTCCACACCCCCGAATTCTGTAGCTAGAAAACTAAATGCATCGCTTGTCCTAATCTCTGATTGTGTCATCGATCTAAGCACTTCTGCATTGATATCATTCATCTTTCTACTAGAATGCAACAGATGTTTGTCACCGTCCACCTCTAAAGGATGGTTGTGACTTTCAATAAATTTCTTAACTAATAAGTTTACTTTTGAGATCGACGACATATCGGATCATGGCTGGACAACCAGTCCTCATGTCTCCTCTTCTGTACTTCACTGTCACATTGTTCTTCAATTTTTTCTTGAAACCAGTCTTACCACAAATGAAATCCTTTATCTTAATCATTTTTGAATTCGACCAAAAACCAACGTGGTTCTTTCGCACAGTAAATCCAATTTGGTGTGCATATGCACAATATTGTCTATAGGCTTCTTTCTCATTATGAGCCACTATGCGAAGCAAGCTTTCCGCAATTAGATCAATGCACACAGTTACAGGCTTGGGGAACTGCAAATTTCAATATATCACCATTAGAATGACAAAAAATAATGTCTTAATAAAACCAATTAATAAATCCAATAAAATTACTATGAAACGATACAGGCATAATAACTTAGTACCACCATAATAATACAAAAATAATACCATAATAACACAAAAGTAGTTTAAAGTCAGTAATACAACAATAATACCGTAATATAACCATAATAACACATAAATAACACCAAAATAACACTAATTAAAACGACAACATAACACCATGATAATACCAAAACATATGGAACACATTATGATTGTATTATGGTATTGTAATAACACAAATGTACAGTTCAAAGCCAATAATACAAAATAATACCATAATATAACCATAATAACATGATTGTAGCACCAAAACAACATTAATTATAATGACAACATAACACCATGATAATACCAAAACATATGAAATACATTATGGTTGTATTATGATATTATATTAACACAAATGTACAGTTCAAAACGACTATTATTTTGGTGTTATTATAATTTTATTATGGTAATATTAAGATGATATAAGTGATTTTTTTCATTTTGGTGCTATTTTGCTGCTATTATAGTTGTATTATGGTTCTAAATCTTTAACCATAAACACCATAATAATACCTAACTAACATCACGTCCAGCCTCCAACATAACAATAATGTTGCAATCAAAACGTATAGTAATCAAACCAGAATAGCTCTTTAATATTCTAATCATTAGGACGCCATTAATAACACCAGTAAATAGAAAGAAATAAGTTCATCTACGGAACGCTTCGTGCCTCAACTAATAAGCTCAGCTCATTGACATCATTCTCACAATCATTTTGCGATTTCATCTGCATTTCTTGGGCGAGAGCAAAATCTATCGGAAGAACCTTAGCTGTCGAACACGATTCTGAATACGAACGCAAATGGAAAAAGGAAATAATTCTTGAACCCTAAAAAGAATTAAAGCTGATAATTCTTTTCTCCCAGTTTGGCGGGATCTAAAATGACAAAATTTAGATTTGGCGGGATCGGAAATTGACAAATAGACACTTTTTTGATGTTGGAGTGGGGCTCGGGTCGGGTCGCACTGCAAAATAATTTTTCTCTTATTTTTTTGGTGGTGGGCCCTTAAACTAAATATCGCTTTTTAATTTACTACCACATATAATCCTGAGTGGGGTCTCTAAACTAAATAATTTTCCCATCTGTAGCTGCATGAAAAACTCATCTAGAAAAAAGCTGAACAAACAGTGACAACTTAACGGCGTCTTATTGAAGTATAGAAAGAAACGCATCGTGGTATAAGCGGAGGAGGATGAAATTCAGCGGAGACGCCATCCAGCTCGATACGTTCCCGCTCGGATTCGATCGCCGGTCGACGACTGGCTTCATAAATCCCTCTTGTTATTGTGTGTAACCTATCATTCCTACTTTTCTCCTTTTCCGTGGAAGCCGTCTTCGTGATATCTGTTTCTCGCTCAAGTTCTGCCAACTAGACGGGGTGCCGAGCTTAGAATTCAGGTTTAGCAGGATAAAGGTTGGTTCCTTGATGTCCGTAGGAATTTTATTGTTTAATCCATCTTCCTGAAACTTTTCATGGCATAATCGTGTTTCTTAGGGTTAGTTTTGGTGTCCCTAATGGCATCGAGATGGATATTTGTAATTGTTGGGCTCTGATCTTGCTAATTCGAGTATGTGGGGAAATTCTGAAACTTGTGATGTCAGATTAGGTTAGGAGGTTTGCTGAATGGTACCCTGTTAATCCTTTTACGTAATTGGATGTAGACTTTTGATAAGCTTTACTGACAACGTGTCACTCTAGGTTTAATGTTTGATTCTTTGATCTTTAATAATTTTGTTCTTAAGTGGCGTTATCAAATGGTAATGCCTGGTCCGTATAACGTATTTGGCTATATCATTTCTGTTGTGTTTTGGGCTGTATTAAAACAAGGATTGTGCCTTCTTGCCTTGCTTTGTAAGAAACTCTAGCACACCTTAGAAAATCTCCTTGATATCTTCCAATTGAAAATGATTCAGTTGTCCCAGGGATCATTGGCTGACTGATAGTTCTTTAATTAAGCACATATTTTGATGCATCATACAAGTTTTAGATGGGAAAAATCTTTGGTTGAGCCCATTCGAGATACATGCACATGCAAAATTTGTTTGTTTGTTTGTTTTTTTTTTTTTTTGGACTAAATTAAAATGATATTCATCAAATTCTCAAAATTATCTTCAAATCATAAAATTTGGACAACTTAAGTGCTTTTTTGTTTTTATGTAATTTAGTTTTCCTTGAGATGTGAAAGTAGTTCCACATTTTAAGATTTAAACTTAAGATTAATGGTTTGAATTTTGGCAGATGAGCTATTTCTATGCATTCTAATTCTTCATCCAGATATCTATTTCTGGCTTATTGTTTAGCTGCTAGCGTAACTAGATGGCAGGATTTGCTAAGGACTTGTTTAGGGTCACTTTTATTTTTAATTTTTAATTTTATTTTAACTTTCGTTTGAAAAGCATGTTTGTTTAGTGCATTTTTTGCATCTTTATTTTTTTTATAAAACAAATTTACTTGTTTCTGAAATCACTCAAAACATCTAAAAATTACTTTGATCCTTTTTAAAAATAACTAATTATGTTATAACATATCAAAAATGTTTTATTTCAAGTAAAAAATAAATAAATAAAACAAATAAAAATAAATAATTAAAAAAATGGTCTCTAAGAATTTAGGTTTTCCAAGGGGAAGGTTGGTTCATTCGCATCTGTTGGAAAGTGCTTGCTATTTTATAAACTTGAACCTTTTTATGGCATAATCAATGTTGTCAGTGTCCTGATAAGCCTAAGTTGATCAAGTTCAGTGTCATTACTAGCATCGGGATGAATGTTTTCTGTTTGACCTATACTAACCTTGTTCCACAAGACCATTATCTAATGATGATACTTATCAATTTCTAAAAGTTATGGTCAATCCTTAAAAATTAAGAAACTTTGTTACATCTCATTTTTTTGTAATTTAGTTTTTTTTGAAATGTGGAAGCTAGTTGCATATTTCATATCTTAAATTTGAGATTAGTAGATTGAATTTATTTATAATTGATATTTCTATGCATTCTTATCCATTTCAGATATACTTTGATTTAAATTTATTATTTCTTATCCTCCGTCTATAAATTAGGAATTAAGGGCTAATTGCAATCAATCAGTTTTGAATTGAATTAAAGTTTAAATTTCAATTTTGTTCTGCAAATTTTCTGTTTCAGCCAACTCTTTCTTTTCCTCTATGTGCTGTCAAAATGCGCAAGTTTGTTTTTCTGTGACAGCTTCAACATCCAGAGATCACCACGTGAACCAAACTCCATTCATCACCAAGTATTGTTTTTATCACAGTAGTTGCATATGCTGTCCCTGGCACATAATTGAGAAGAAAACAGTGAAGTTATTTACTATTTTGAGAAAAATAGCAATAAGGAAATCAAAGGTATTTACAAGGAGAAAGAAAATAGTAGAAGAATTGGATGCAAGGGGAAATAGGAGGTTTTTCTATTAAAATTTTTGCTTGTGTTTAGCAATGTTCTTACAATTTTATTGCATATTTTAATATCAATTTCTTAAAACAATATTTGTCCCTATATACTTATGTGAACCCTAGTTTTCTTCCTTGGCTTCCTTCTCCTAAAGCCCTTGGAGATCCTTGTGGTAGAAATACACAAAGGGGCTGTGGACAAGTTTGCTAAGGTCTAAATTGCCTTGGATAGTCAGGTTCGGGAGTATTTTTTTCAACTCGTTTAGTGGTAAGTGACGCCCTTATATGCTATAGCTTCCGTGGTCAAAATGTGAATCTACTTGAGAGGACTTGGGACATAGATCCTATCTATTGAGATTCAAGGATGATTTTATTGTATTACTGCTAAAGTTTTTAGACTTAGTATAAGTGATTTTTAGAATAGGCAAAACTTAAACATAATGAGGGAGTAGTGACCATTTTTTGCACTTAATCTCGAGCTCCAATGTTACGTAAGGACATAGCTGAGTTACGTGATTATGCCAGTTAGTTTTTCCTTAGGTACCACTTGACCTTTCTTTCTAGATGACTTGGGGAATGATCTACCTGATAACATGGGGCTTGCTAGCTTTCTTTTGTTTTCCTAGCTTTACCATGCCAGCTCGCCTTTGTCTGCCTGTCTCTAACTTACTAACATACCTTCATCTGCCATACTCGAGTGTACCCCCTTTTGCCTTGGCCAAACATCAGTGATCAAGTTGATAAATAAAATTTTCATCTTAACGATCCAATGAGGGTTCTTAACTAGGGTGAATGACTTATAATGAGTAAAACCTGAGAATAGTCTAGGGTGTAACGCCTCATTTTTTGCATAATTTTACTCTTAGAAGACTTTGTGGATGACTAACTCGTTTATATTTATGAGCCTTACTGGCTTGCCTTTGCTTGCTCACTCTAGGATGCTAGCTAGCCTTTGTTTGTCCATCTCTAACCTACCTATCAACCTTCATCTGCCATGCTCCATGCTAACCCAGCTTGCCTTGGTTGACCGTTACTTTATTTTTGTTTATTTATGTCTTGCTCTTGAGAATTTTGGTTGATAACTTCAATTTCTCGAAGTATGTACACCTCAATTGGCGTTGGCAGCTGGTTTGGGTTGCCTACGTCTTGTCACATCCGCAACTACTATTGCCTTTATGTACATGCTCCACATGTGTCATGATAAGACCTTACAACCACTTCCTGATATTTTGTAAAGGTTGGTAAGGTTTTATCAGTTGTGATGAAAAGTTGGTAAAGGTTGGCTAGGACATCATCTCTAAATCGTTTCACAACTTAACTTTGTTGTGGTGAAAAGCAAATGTGACTACTTTTAAAAATTAAAACTAAGATTAAATTTGTGTTATTTGAATATGAAACTTAGAGAATTGGTGGACCTAATGATGTCAAGAAAAATATATATTGATTGTTTACAGCTTCTTTAGAAGAAACTAAATATAAAAGGAAAATTCATAGATATTGGGGAAGCTACAAGTTATTGATGTTGAAAATATTAATAATAGGAATGAGAGTTTAAAGGTGTTCAAGAAAATAAAAAATTCTTTTGATGCGTGGAAAAGTTGAATATTATTTAGGCTTGTAATGATTATAGTAAAGCTTGAATCTTGCAAGATTGCATCAAGGAATGGAATCGCTTAAGCTTTTGATTATTTATATAATAGACTTTGTACTGAAGAAGGAGAAAATGACATATAGAATAGCTAATGTAAGAGATGGTGGCTCTAATGACCTTGATCATGTTAGATGCATTAAAAGCGAAGTTAATGGTATCCTAATGAAAATGACGTCATAAAAATATAAAAAAATTGCTAGCTCTAGAACTTATTAAATGAGAGTTTTAGGTAATAAATTTTAAATTATTTTGGAAGTTCATAATGAGGAAAATAATATGTATATTATAGATTGAACTAAAAAGGTAAAGTGAAATTAGCTATGAAGAAGATGCATATCCGTCAAACTTTAGATTCAACTGATATATTGACTTAAATTTGTAGAGTTATGTGGGGTACTACAATGGTTTGATTAACTTTTTTTAATGGAATTATGAAATATTAAGAAAATGTTAAATGATAAGATAAAGAATATTTTGGTATTATTGTTTAGGAATAATAGTTTTATTCAAGATTATGTTACCTATATAGGAATCAAAATTTTAATTCATTCAATAAAACAGCGATAAAGTGTAATGAATTATATAATTAGAAAACTTGTGCTAATTTTGAAGAATCAAATGGTTTCATACTAGGGAGATATACTATGTAAAAAAATTGTCTTTTAATGGTATAGTTTAAAGGATAGAGATAGAGTTTTCAAATTATTTTTATTGACCTTGAGAAGTCATGTGAATGAATGTCTTTAAAATTCATTTGATTGATATAAAAGAAGTAGAATGTATGTCCAAGATATGTTTAAGATTTTAATAAAGCTATGCATATTGGTTCTAATATTATTACTAGAAATAATTTTAGAGTGACTAAAAACATTTTCATGGCTTCGAAAATGATATTATATTTTTGTCCTTAAAAGAGGATTTGGTTTATTTTCCAATTTAGAAGATTGATTAAAGTGATCTTGAAGGAATAGTGTAGTTAGCAACCCTAGATTAAGTATGTTTTGAAATTTTCAAATTATATTACAGCTAGCATGAATAAAGTCAATGATGCCAAAGATATGTCATTCATTTGGAATGTGAGACATAAAGCTTGTGAATTTTATAAAGATATGTTTGGAGATCTTTTATAGGAGATGCAATTAGTAATTTTCTTTGCAAAATTATATTTTCTTTGTGCTTGATAATTTCATCAAGAATTCGTTTTTTTTTTCCATGACAAAGTTGGCAGGATTGATAGTAATGTGGGAATACTTTGTCAAAGATTTGTATTGGTTAAACATTTTCTAATTCTATTCATTTTTTGTATCTTGAAATTTAGGTCTGATTGAATTCACATTCAACAACAACAAGATCAACA